GCTATGGAAAAACCACATCCCCCAAAGCAATAGAGCCTCATGAGCTGTAATAGAGGGAGCAGTAAGACTGCAGAGAAATGAAATTTCCATAGTATGAAGTCAAAGAGAAAAAGTTTGGACCCAACTGAAATGAGTGTTCAAAAAACACCCAAATGGTCAAGATATTGGGTAGAATGAAGAAATGACTTTTCCAATTTGATTAACCAGTCCACTCGAGCCACCTCCAGGAGCAGCTGATGAATGTGACGGGTGGAGTCCTGTTTGGAATGAGTTAACAGTAGCTAGTCATCCATATAATGATGAAAATGCAACCTGAGAGCATGTATGTGACAAGCAAACACTCTGACAACTTGACAAAAAAACATATGAGGCCGAAGGAAGTCCTAAGGGCAGTGCGCAAAACTGATAAACCACCCCGCAAAGAACAAACCACAGATATGGTCACAACTGACGAGATATTGGGATATGCAAGTAAGCATTGCATTCGCAGCATCCATCTTGGTCATCCACAAACCTGGAGAAAAAGCCCACCTGAGGGTGAGAAATGATTCCATGGTAAAACGGGATAGACTGAGAAATTGATTGAGGTGAGACAAATCTACTACAGGCTGTCAGTCTCCAGTTTTCTTGGGGACAACAAACAGCCTGGAGAAAAATGATGAACAGGTTCGATGGCCTGTTGAGACAAGGTCTCGTACCGCCTCTGACAGATGCTGGCAGGTGATAGGATCCTGAGGCATAGGTAAAGAAATATGAATCAAACAAAAATGTTTGATAGACAAATGCAAATTTGAGACAAAAATAATGACTGGGAAATTAAGTTAGAGTACAAGATGTCTTCAATATAACGAAAAAATTAATTAAGAAATCCTACTTTGTAATTGAAACTATTAAATTTATTACTGCAAAGCAAACGACAAGCACCAAATGCAAAAAACATCTGAACATGAGTACTGCCAAACGAGAAATGATAGTTAGGTACAATGGAATAGAGGGAGTCACATGCATCCTGAGAGTACGTTGCACTCCTATTGGTGGAGTGTTGACACATGATGATTTGCATGAGACACACATTGGAATCAGTCAATTTCACTAGAGGGGAGATAGAAGGCTTGTGGCATGCATAAAATGTTTTTGCATATAGAGGGCAGCACTGAAACGAGAATGGATATTTACGTGAGTGGAGGTAATGTACCATATCAGAATTCTTATTACTAATAATATGTATGCCTTTCTGGTCTAAATAGTGTTCTTTTGATATAATTAATTCAGAAGAACTGAACAGTTTAATATATTATTTTATATATACCATTAAGAGTGCTCGTAAATTCTTTTAAAATGTTGAAATGCAACTATAATACACCAAGTAGTAGCATTGTATGTAATACTAACATAAAATTCTGTATATGTGCAAGCAAAGATTCCAATTATTATTTGATAGTTTTGTTTGTTCTATTGTTAGGCACACAGATATACAATGGGATATTTGTTCTCTGCTCAAAACAGGTATCAAAACCTAATTTTCAGTATTAGAATCCCTCACACTTAAAACTGAGCTAGAGGCAGACACTTGATAATGAGTGATACAAAAATTAACAAATTACGACAAAAACATATTCCTATATAGGTTTCTAAATAAAATAAAAAAACAGTATATTTAAAGATAAAATAACTCATACTTCAAAAAGGTAATATATAACACAACAATCACTTTGTGGTATTCTACTCCTAGAGTTAAGAGTAGATAAAGCAATGAGAGAATCTTGTCATTAAACAAAAGATGTAAGACAACATGAACACTAACAAGACTAAATACAGTGTAGTTTAATAACAAAAGTTAGCCTGTGAACAGCTGGCTGAAATATGTAGTGATAGGACAGAAACCTGAAATACTGTTTTAAAAGATTAAGGGGAAATGAAAATAAAACTCCGTCAAAAATATTACTTTAAAAGTTAACAACTACATACACAGTTTATCAGAAGAAGGAAAACTAAGTAAGAAATGTATACAAAACCTCAACAGTCAAAAGTAACTTCCGTAAAAGCTGAGTGCAAGCACAACATTTATAGGAAAACCACACAACAATAACTGATATGTCTTTTCAATAGCTTGATGTTCATCATTCTCATATATACGTTTCAATGGGATTCTCGAAGTTTGAAATATCAAGTAAAAACAGCAAAGTAATTTTCAATTTCTTCTTCTTTTATTATATCTTCTTCTTCATTTCATATTATGAAATTTCATGATAATCAAAAACTTGACAGAATAAAAAAAAAAAGAGAAACTGGAAATTCAATAATTTCTGGAAACTCACCCCATCTAACTAGTTATACATACTAAGGACATGTAACTGTTAAATGCTAAAACTGTTTTTATTCTCCATGTTCTATCTGTAATTGATCAATCATAAACAATATTAAACTAAACTTTAACTACCTCTGTTCCATGTGCAGTTTTAAAATAGCCTGACACTCAAGGTTTTTTTGGAAACAATACAACTATCTCAACAATCAGCAAATATTTTTCACCAACTTATGTATACAGAGTGACACCTTTGGCTACACAGGCACGTGACCTAACCAAATTTACTTGGTTCTGAGCAAGAGCGTTAGTCAAATTTAAAACATAAATAATAATATGTAAAATATATAGCTTACAAGAAAGAGAGATATGTAACATAAGCATATCACAACTTTTCAGTTAACCATATTAAGTGTGTATATTAGTGTTGTAAATGTGCATATACATAAGCAGTCTGAGCTCAAACTCAACTCATACATGCACCAAGGAGTGATTATGTTTGACAAATTTTAAAAGGTATAATACTATACTCTGGATTAAACACAACAAATTAAAAAATATACACAACACTGAGCAAATCATTTCCTATACTTTTTGGATGATCCATTAAATTATGGTAAGCAAATACAAAAAAACTATTAATCAATTACCTAAAATCTTCATTACTAGATTGCATAAGAAATAGTTTAAAAAAAATTACATACAAGTTAAATCACCATTACAAAAGATATTTTCTTATACTGAAAACAGGTTTCCGATAGATACTTACCTCCTCTCACATAATTAGTATTTCTTGATCTTCCACTGCCCTCTAACGCATTGAAAAGAAATTTTCTCGCTTGATGCACTAGCCTTTATACCCCCTCAGTTTGATTACAAAATGCATGTAAAAGATGACTGGGAAGTATGCAAAATGGCCACCTTAATATGGGACTCTAAAGAAGCAAGATGGGGCCTAAAAACAGTATTATGCAAAAATGTAAACAGGCTGAAGTCCTAGTAGGAGGACATGGAGAGGCAAATACCTGTAAGCAGCATGTCTCACCCCAATAAGACCTGATACCACACCAGCCAGGAAAGTAGGGAAAAGATGATGAGGACAGCCACACCCTGAAAGGCTTAAGTGTGTAGTCAGAAATGCCAGGGAAGAAAGGCACACAAAAACCCCAAACCAAATAGATAAAAATCAATGTGCAGGAACCAGTAAAACAATACGAACAATAACATATAAAACACACTGCTGTGTTCTTGAAATTGCAACAAAGCATTTTAAGTAAGTATGAAAACAACAGAATAATAACAGTATTAACTTAGAGCAAGCTATAAATAACTACCTACAATGTGGTTACTGTGGAGACGAACTTTGAATTGTAGAATATGAGGAGAAAAATTGGTTTCAGTATCAAGAATTTAGGAAATGAAGCCAAAGCAAAGCTCAGCCCTAATAATGGTAAATAAAAGAACATGTCAATGATGTAGCAATGCAAAAAAAAATTCTTACACTTATAAAAATTAGGGTTATAAAGAGCATATATGAAAATTACTATAAAAAAAATTATTCAGATAGAAAAATGAATTAGATGTTACTAGTATTAATGATACGTAACATACAAATCATCTCAACATACCTAGTTAACAAAATAATTATTAATATCGAACTGACAAATCACCTAAATATATTGAGACAAAGTACATAAAAATAATGAATGTACAAACTTCTAAAATTACCTAAAGTTATAATCAAAATTGAACTTACAATTCATTTAAACTTACTCTACATGTAAATGTCTAACTTACCAAAGTCTGAAAACTGATGTCATGAAATACTTAATGCTCTCATGTATAAAGAAGGACAAAGCTACAGAAAGGGCATCTGAGCCATGCCTACCACAGGTATCGCAATCCGTACTGTAGTAAACAAGTCAAAATCTTACCACAGAGCCCCTTGGGGGGCTGGAAGCAATAGGAAGAAAGGAGGACAAGAACAAATTTCTACCAAAGTGAACGATGAGGCTGCACAGCAATTGGAGCTGTAAAAATAAAAATTGTGAAATCACCCTTATTTCTAACATACAGAAATGACTGGATATGCTTTGACCATCATGGAGAAGAAGGTCCAGGCCCCATGGAAGAAGTGAACACCTGATAAACCAAGACACGTATCTTCTCAGCAGACAGTATCAATTCCAAGGCCTGGGTAAGAAATATTAAGGTGCTCCCAGAAACAGTAGTAATCATGTTGAGAATCACATGAAATTACATATATAGAAAAAAGGCAATAATATGTGAAACAGAGAATCAAAATCTCTAACAAAACATAATGCAAGACAGCATTAAAGCACACGCATTAAAAAAAATCATGTTTAGTCAGGTCTGAAAATTGAAAGTAAGCAAGAAACACATCCAATTCATAAGGTGCCAAAGTGAGGTACACACAATGTAATACAGAGGGAGCCAGCTGCTTTGGGAGTGTGTCATGCTTTTATTGGTGAAGGGTTGTCACATGCTCTATGCATGCTAAATGAGCAGCTCGAAGTGAGGGGGTACAAAGGCTAATGCATCAAGCGAGAAAATTTCTTTTCAATGCATTAGAGGGCAGTGGAAGACCGAGAAAAGCTATTTGTGTGAGCAAAAGTATGCATCGTATCAGAATCAACATTTAAACTGTAAACAAAATAAAAAATTCATTACTCACAACTATTGTCCATGAGAGTAACTGTCTCACTTGGTTCTTGATCACCAAACAAAACACTAACTAATGTAGAGCTATGTCCATAATTTCCTTTCTGTAGCTGCAGTAAAGTTCTGAAAATAAAAAGATCAAGTGCATTGAGAGTTATGTTAACTCATGTTTAATGAATTCTCAATGTTTCTAAGTATAATGTTTTATACTATTTTTTCTGAATGTCAGTGCTATTTGCTAGAAAATTTTCATAATAGTGCAGTTATTTGTATCTGTAATTAAAAATTTATTCTGTGATACAAAAAGACTGGTATTACAAAAACTTTGAATTGCACATGTAAAATGTAAAACAAAGCAATACAAACTTTAATTTACCATGTACGGTGTATTTTCCCATGAATAGTTGAAACATTACTTGAATTAAAAAAAACAAAACAATTTTAATGTTTCTATAAACACAAAGAATATCTTATGAACAAGAATAACAATTTATTGCTCTACATTAACTTTTTAAGCAACTGGCCTATTCATACTAGCCAAACAGGATTGTTTTGCTAACAGAACAATAACAATATGCACAAAAAACACGAAGATTTCTTCTGGGTCCTGTATGTTTACTTTCTCAAAGTAACTTTCAAATATTGTGAAATCAAAGGCTATTGTTTCCATGGAAGTCATTAAAACGTAAAATTACAACAAATTTCTAGTTTCTAAATAAAACAATGGCCAACCTTTAATATAAGTTTCAAATTTGTACTTCAGGTTAGTAAGTGTTGTAACTGTATACCATCATGCAATGCAAAACCCCTTTAAAAGTTAGAGATGTAATTGTAGCTGACACATCTTAAAAAAAACAATAAATCATGATCACAATGATAAATAAAAATAATATTGTTCCTGCTTTTGTGGGCAAATAGAAAAATTAGAGAATGAAATTCTACTTGAACTATTTTCAATAAGATAATTTAGGTGGTAAGTTCATGATACATTTGAACCATAAATTAACAGTCAACCATGCAGAAATTAGCAAATATTTTGGTCTTCATAATATCTGGCAAATGATAAAAAGAACTAAGATTTCCTTTTAATGATAATTTGGTATTTGAGCTTTCAAACAATATAACATTTGTGCTCACCAATTCAACTCTTGCAGAGAAAGCTTTATTTGAAAATAACATCCCCTCATCTGTGTCCAAAGCTTGGTAAAATTTCAAAAGCATTTACTAAGTGATTTACTTGGAAACGACCTATTCTAAGTGCTAAACTAGTCAATATTCACTGGGAGAATATCCAAAAGTCACGTTTATCTTAATCTCAGTTGCAAGTGCAAGGTTTAAAGGTGTGATAATTGCATGTAATGCAAATTGTGGATGCTGTCATAACAGGGTTTCTGTTAAAATTCAACTGATCAGAAAGAAAAGTTGTACAAACATGTTAGAATACAATAAAAAAATGGTGAAACAGAATAAGATACCCTGTTTTTCTCACTGTTTTCATTTTCATTGTTTTGGAACTTTCAGTGATTGACAGACTTTGATATGATTGATCAGATTTAAACCAATGAAAGTCATAAGAAATAGTTGAAAAACATATATTTTTGTTTCTGCTAAACTTACAGTGTCCTAGATGTTATAAATATGTTTATAACCATTCTTAGAGTTTAAATCAATCTCAAAATGAAATAGTCTTAAGTAAAAGTAGCCTTGTTTTCGGAAGATTTTCATCAACATCAAAACAAGATTTTGGGGAGAGAGAGTGCATTTTTCAAAGCAAAAGATAGAACCCTAAGCCTATGCAAAGTGACAAACTGGTCTATTGGATTTTCTCTTGTTCAAGGTCACCACCAAAATATAGTAATTTGTGTATGATCAAATCATGATATTATGGTGAAACCACAAGTTATTACCATGTATTTGCACACGGTATTTATTCAAGGTTTTCAAGCTAAAAATATACCTAAAAAAACCATCAAAATGTTATAATTCATTACTAAACAATATTTAATCTACTTAATAATTAACATTCTTTCTAAAGGCTCAGCCAAATCAGCTGAGTTCATTTTGTCAAATTGACCTTTATAGTTTCCATACTATAACTTCTAATATTTTTTGTCTTCATGAAATCTCTAAATGCTTTCAATAAGCATTAAATCCTTTTTTGACAAAAAAAAAATCAGAATTTTTAATGAAGTATTTTAACTAAAGAATTTTCCATGAATATATGGAGTCAAAGATTTGACTGCTCTAAAATAAAAATATATTTTCATCTGTAAATTCTCAAATTTCATTTTCATAATCTCTAAAACCTCCAAAATAAAATTCAAACATTTTTTTCAGTACAACTATATTTTATCTGATATTTTTCTACCCTAACCCTATAAAAGGTTGGTCAATTTGACTGACCTTGTAACTGCTATAAAAAAATAAAAAATAAGTTTAAATTATCGTTTTTTCTTTTCTAGAATTAATTAAAATTGCAACATGAAACTACATTTGTTTATCATAAATAGCTTTAAACTCATAACAGTATATATCTATTTCTATTTAAATTTTATTATTTTACTGCCCTTTGAACTGTGTCTAACTAAAATCCCTGCTGATCAAGTTGTAAATCACCTGGTAAAGGTGTAGCTCATGTTACCCTATCAAATTATGTTATGCAAGACTTTTCGCAAGTTGCCCATGAGCATACCTCATGAAAATTTTATCATTATTGTATTATTCTTTATTTTTTCTAATCTAACCTAAAAGGTTTCCTATTTTTACATTTTAGTTACCTTTATAATAATAAATAAAGAATACATATGAAAAACAAGAGATGTACTTTGGTCTTTTTTTTTTTGCTGTCGACTATTGATAAAACATAACCCTACTTTTTATACTAAAGGTAATACTATACAAAGTAATGTTTTATTTAATTAAATAATGCACCAAAGAACACTGAATAATAACATGCAAAAAGCAGACAAAGTCCTATGACTATAGCAATTTTTCTGCTTTTCTAACTATGCAACGAAAGCTGTTAAAAATTCAGCTAAGCTCATATGAAATACATTTTCAGTATAGGAAAATTATAACTTCCGATACAGAATCCCACATTGAATAGGAGAAGAGACCGGTGCGAGGGAATGAGAGAAGTACCCTCCCCAAAAGCATCTGAAGGATACCCCTGAAAATGAGTGTCAGATCCAAAGATCAAATGAGGGGAACTTCACCACTTCTGAACCAGGTATACTCTTTGCCCCTCTGAGAAAAGTGGAGAAGATAAGGGTGGAAAAGGAGAGGAGCACATCTTAGTGGGATAGAACTGTGTCAGGGTCGTGTTCCTAACCATATAAAATAAATATAACTCAATCCCATGAATGGAAAAGTGGGTAAAACAATGGATGTGCCCTCAGGAGTAGAGTGACTAGGGTATGACAGACCGTACTCGGTAAGTCAACTACATCCAAAACCCATGCCACTGGGAACAGACATTCATGCGGGTGTAGGGTGAGGATCATATCATCTTCACCTGAAACCCAAGAGACTGGGGGATTGAAAATCATGCTATCTCCCATGTATGACACAAGTATTAGTATTAAGCTATTGATCTGGGGACCTGACATCTGATATTGAAAAGATGTCTATCACATGCAGTCAATTCTCCCACCCAGGAAACTTACCCATACCATCCAAAAGGCAATTAAGATAGTATGAGGTAGAGCCAAAGGAGAGAACCATAACAATCCCACATACCACTTCTGTGACCCATAACACAAAAGAAGGAAAATCGAGGGAGGAAGATAGACAACCCAAAACATGTGTGAGGACTTATGATGATTGGTTCTACTCTAAATCGAAAACCCAGCCATGGGGTACTGACATTCATGAGAGGGTAGGATGAAGGCTTCCAATCAAGGAGGTGAACTGCATTTTGACGTATCACTCCTTTGTAATTGTATATTGCAAAGAGGAGGACAGTAAATCCTCTACACCCACAGAACACCACCGCCCTACTCTGCACTGAATGGTTATAGCCATCTTTGTGTGGAACCTATTCAAGAGGGTGCCTCCATGGTCGACCACCCCAGTGGTTTGAAACTGGAAAGGACTCCTATGCTCCACTGAAGAAAAGAGGGTAAAAGGGTGGTGGAGAGTCCGGAGGAACATCATCACCTGAAATAGTGGAATGGGTGGCTACAAAACTCTATTTTGAAAAGCAGACCATACCAAGCTATTCACTACAGCCATGGCAGGGATGGATATCTATCCCCTTCTGCTTTACATATGCAGTCCATGGGTGGTATGGTATGGTCTGGGACATGCATGTTTATGAAGAAAAATATTGCGAGGATATTCACCTACATGCAATCTTGTGGAACACCCCATCTCAATGGTGAGCATTGCAAAGCCATGAGTAAACATGGCTGTACAGTGTGTATTTCAAGTTAAAGAATACCTGGTCAGGCACCACTCGCCACAGAGTGAGATCCATATAATGAGGAACGAAGAAAAGGCCCTGAAAAGAAAATAAAGTATGAATAGAAACTTACCCATCAGAGTTGCACCAAAGTCTGAAGAATGGCCACAGGTGGTAGATGAAAACCCAATGAAGAAGACACCATGATATGATATAGATAATGGGAGACAAACATATTGGGTGTGGTCCACAAGCCTGATTGTAGAATTTTCTACAATGGATGACACAGACAAGAAGCAAGGGAAAAGCTGAAGTGTCTAACCTGATGAAAAGATGCCCTGAACAAATTCCGGGAGGAAGAAGGTAAGGAGGAGTAAGCCAATTGGATCAAAAGTCGGACCCAATTAGTAAGGGTTGAAGGTGAAAGATCACAAAGGGAGGAAGATTGCCAGGGGACACAGAACAGGAATGGGTACCATGGAAGGAAACCGTATAGGCAATATAAGAACAAAGAGCTCTGACTGGACACAGAAGCCTATCTGTATCCGGTTGAGGGTGAAGATGAGAAATGGAAGGAAGAGAAATAGACGAAAAGAAGGAGCTACCCTCCCAAGCCATCAAGGTATTTGGGAAGAAGGAATGATCCAGATAAAGAAGAAGACAGGTAGGGTGATAAAATGTACGTGAAACGTCAATGGCAAACAAATCCAACCATCGATGCCCACAGGTTAAGAGGAGAAGGAAATATGTTTTAAGGGAAAGGTGAAACATGGAACATGATGAAAGTGGTTTAAATGGAGGTAGAGTGAGGGAATGGAGTACCACATTAACATCCCAATCTGGAAGGGTAGGTCACCTTGGAAGGCAATGCAACCAGAAGGAACGCAGTAGCATGGTAAGGACAGGTAGGTAAAAAACTCTACGGTATTGGGAAAAATGAAAGGTATGGGATAAAGCTGCCCAATAAAACGAGAGTGAAGAGACTCAGGATCCCTGGTCAAAAAGCCAAGTGAGAAATTCTGCCACCCGAGCCACAGTAGGCTGGTCAGCAGGAAATCCCTGATTTGTAGACTAACTGTGGAACACCTTCCTCTTGCACTGATACACCTCCCTGGAAGAAGGACGTATGGAACCAGCTAAAAGGAATGTGACTCGATGGGAGAAATTGGATCTTCTTGCCAAAAGCCAGCAACTAAGATTGACAAAGAGGATAGGGAGATAACAGAAGAAGTACAGGAGAGGAGAGTAGCAGGTGCTGTAACCATGAAATCCATGGCTGAGCTGGCCAATAAGGAACAATCAGTAGAACCTGACAAGGAGTGATATGGATGAGAAAGATAACCTGATGAAGTAATCAGATAGGAGGATAAACACACAGATACTTGTGGGACCAATCTTGCCTGAGGAACCAGTCATCAAAAGAGAGGTAACTTGTGATTGAGGCTTGAAGCAAATACACCAGACTAACTGCAAAGCTCCCTGAAAACAAGGGGATCTAAGGACCACTCTGTCAGATATATCCAATCTTGGCAGGAAAGACGATGTGCAACAAGAATGAAAACATCTGGCACATGATATGCAATGAGATGAACATGTTGCATGTGGGCCCAGTATAAGAGATCCAACATCTGAAAACAAAGATCTCTTGCCTGGGTGACCCCTTGGTGACTGATATGTGCCACCACCATAGAATTGTTGGAATGAACCATCACCAGACAATGTCGGGCGAGAAGAAGGAAGTGATTCAATGCCCAACGTGCAGCTAAAAGTTCAAGAATGTTGATATGTAAATCATGTTTGTTTGCAGACCAATGGCCTAAAGCTTCCTGTTGGTTGACCCATGCACCTCAGCACTACAGGGATGCATCCATGTAAAGATGTAGACCTGGATGTGGGGGGAGGAAGTGGCACACCCACTGAAGTATGTGCCTTGTCCAACCACCAAAGCTGATTGTCTCGCGGGGTAAAAGGAAGGGTAATGGGAGTAGAAAGTATAAATACCATAATGTAAGCTGCATATTCGCCACATGATTTACAACTTATATGCAATGAATATTAGTTAGACACAGTTCAAAGAACAATAAGCGATAAAATTTAAGTATAAATAGATGGATACTGTTACAAGTTTAAGGCTATTTACGATAAATAGTTAATATTTGTTAATAAATCAGTTGAAGTATACATTGTAACTGCTCCTTTGCTGAAGTAGAATTTTTTTTAAGACACTTGGAAAAACTTAGAATCTATTCATCATTCTGTTAAAAAATGAAGAAGTAACAGCTAATAACAAAGAAGCTATTTAGTCAACAGTTTGGCAAGTTAGGCAGTAATGATTAATAAAGAAAATTTTCTTCTGGCACCATTTTGGCTCCACTTTAAACTTAACATAGCTTGAAATTTCAAAAATAAATTACTGATTAAATTCTGGAACTTTCTTTTAGGATTTCCAAAAATAAAATATAAAGTTTTTGAATTAAGTTTCAAACATTAAATAAATATATATTCAAAAATTGTGTTTAATTTTCTGCTTACACTAAGCAGGTGTAAATTAATCACAAAAAACTTAATCAGTTCAGTAAGAAGAGTTAGGTTTGGTTTGCAATTTTATGAAAATTATTCTGAATTATATAAAAATATACAAGTTTAATTATGGAAAGATTATTTTTCTACTTTGTACTAGCAGAAAATCATATGATGCATGCCTACTAGACATGTGCCAGATGGAAAGAGCTCATTAAAGCAATCATGTGAGTTGATTCTCACTAGCTGCTAAACAAAGCCAGCTATTTTTGACATATCCATTACTACACCACATCATAAAACACTTTGTTTTATGCAAAAAATATATACACTGAATTTTAAGTCTTTTCACTAGGGTATACAATTCTTACCTTTTTAGTCGATTGTAAGTTACATCATTTGTCAACTTCATAAGACGGTACTGTGTTTTATCGTCAATTTCGAGCAAATCAAAACTCTCATCAAATGACAAACATATTTCTTTTTCAGTAGTTCGTGTCACAATACCCGAAGCCAAAATGTTCTCATTTTTTTCCTGAGATAAAGCAACTCCAGCAATGTCCCCTAGAGATAAAAGAAAAGATACTGATCTACATGAATCAAATACCATATTTTTCAAGCTTGCTCCATTATACTTATGAATAATTATCATGCATACTGTATACTTTTTATACTCTGAATTTAAATATATATATATATATATATAATCTAAATACAAATGGAAAATTTTCACAACTATTGAAACAAGAAAGTCAAACTACTAAAACTGAGTTACTTGAAATTTAAAAAATTCTTCCCTTTGTAGTTTTGAATTTCTTGTTACAATACTTTTTGTAGCATTTGTAGCTAGCTAGGTTACATATATATTGATCCCTACTTATCTTTATAATATTTACAAATATTTTGTTATACTTGTTTGTTTCCTTTTTGTTAGCTATATTTTTGTGCACCAGCAATATTAAGCATGGGGGTGCACTTATGAACGATTCAATTTTATTACTCATCAAAATATCCACCAACCTACCCTCAAATCTAATTATATGCCCAAAGTAGTACATTGCCCATTTTATATATATATACTAGTATTCTTTTTGGTACAAGAAAGAAATCATTGGTATCCCAGATGGAAGAGGTCTTTGAAAGAATTAGAGTGAAAAGATTTGTCATTTTTTCTGTATGCTTGTCTGGACAACTTACTTACTTACTTACTTAGATTGAAATACTGAAATTTTGACTCACTCCATAAACATGCATATAGCGATTTAGGCAGCTTTATAAGTACAATAAGCTTAGTTTTGCTCAACCAATACTGTGAAATAGTCATTGTTAATATTCAGATATCTTAAATTTGGTTTTAAACGAGAAATATTTATGGCCACTATTTTGTTTCATCATAATCCCTACTATTAAGTACTACCATATTTAACGATGTAGTTGAAGTTTTTAATACATTTTAAACTAACCAAACACCTGCCAAAAATGATAAAACCTATTGTGGTTTATTATCTGTCAATATCAAGATTCGTGATAGTGTGTTTTGCAGTTAAAAAAAACAACCTGCAGGACACACTGTGCATTATTAACACGAGTGTAGCTCAGACTGTGGTAATCTAAACTATCAAATATTTTCAGTGGATGTGCTATACTGGACTCTTACATCACATACACCAAACTTCAAGGATTTTCATTAAGAAATAACTGAGATATAACATCTCCAATTTTGATTGAGTTTCTTCCAACTTTTTGTTTTCTTCTCATGAAAAATACAGAAATTTTATCTGATAGAAAAACATACTTAACTTTTATGGATTTTTTTCAAATTTTGGTAAACTGATAGATCCTTATAACCTACAATTAGGAGTCCCATTTCAGGTAAATATAAGCCACATGTGCAAAGTTATTCAAGAAAAAACCCACAAATTTAACAAAAAGTTTGCACACACCTACACAAAAAGTCATGTGAGCTATTGGTCTAATATTTTTAATACAGCTTTCTCTAAGAGCAAAAGTAGACCATTTTTTTCATTCGCATTAAAGACAGCTAAGTCAGAGCAGCAAAACTAAAAGGTGAAAGAACGTCCAGATACATAAGCATTGCTTAGGCCAAGTAAACTAGATTAGCAGTTTCTAGCTCAAGTTTTCAAAAGAATCATATAGGTGGACGATTATTACTGATATTCACTGACAACTTTTCAGCACAAATTTACTAAACTTTATGAAATTATCCTAATTAAAAAGCATTTAGTGTCACGTGATATTAGTTTAAGCAATTAGCACAAATAATGAAGCTTAATGTGGCTGTACCAATTACATGAGGGTGATGACAAGAAACTGTTAATCTAAATTCCATGGCATTAGTAAAAAGGAAGCTGATAACACTGTTTTAAAGAGGAAAACTACCACCATATATTTTAAAGAATCTGGTCGATCCTGTAAAGTAAAGTCTGTTCCAAATAATAGGGTTGCAATCCTAAAGCTAATGTTCGTTACTATCAAGTGTCACTTTCATATTTGGTGTGGTATGTTGGTGTGTATTGACAAAAAGTCATGATATCTAATCAAAAACACCTTAGGCTGAAAAAACAGTGCAACCAAAAAAGGATTTAAAATGTAACTTAAAGGAATGAATTCAACATTGGTGGCCAAACTGGTAGCTACACTTACAGCATTGATAAGAATTTTACAGCAAATATTCATTCATTCATTTGTCAGCTAGGCCACATATTTTGCTTTACCTACCATCATGCCCCAAGTTAAAAAAAAACACGGCCTGGCTAACTAATGAATAAATATTTGATATAAAATTCTTATCAATACTATAAATATAACTACCAGTTTGGTCACAAATTTTGATTTCATTACTTTATTCACATACTGAATCCTTTTTTTGGCCACACCTTTTTTCATACCTAAGGTGTTTTTGATTAGATTAATATAACAAAAGTTCAGTTACTGTTAGTTTTTTTTACAGTTTTCATGCAGAGCTATACAAAAGGTTTGTATGCATAGCTGTCCATAATATTGAACTTACAGACTAGAGGGAAGGCAGCTAATCAATAGTAACCATTGTCAACTTTTAGGCTACTTTTCTCTGACAGAATAGTGGGATTAGACCAATAATCTTATAGTGCATTCATGGACTGAAAGTGCAGAGCACATTTCTGTGGCAACAGGAGGAAAATTAAAAAACTTCAGATTCAAAGTCCAGGCATGCTAACCACTAGACCTAAGTTCAGTTACGTATCTTCGCTGTTTCTTCACAGGCACTAGATAAAGTAGTTAGTACCCCAATATGTAATTTGAACATACATCATAACAGTCTTCAAAACTGGGCAAATCAGGGAGAGTCACACAATATCATCATCCTGATTTGTATTGACAACTGAAAAGTCATTTGCGTTATATCAGCACTTGGATTGTAGCTGAACTAATCACCAAAGAATGAAGCATGGAAGCTGGAAATAAGACTGGATATTGTCAATACCAGTCTGCTTCAAGAATCACTACTCTCCATGGACACCTCAACAGTCCAACTAGATCCTATGTGCTATCCTTTGTTGACAAAATTCTGGGGTATAGCAGTGGCTCTAGTAAAGCAGAACTAGAAAGCAAGATGCAACCATACTTTAGCAGGGTGAGGAAATGGTGCAATGACTCAATAATGGTAATCAATCCTGTTAAAGCCACAACAATATTCTGCACACACAACGACAGACATTCTGATGAGGATAAGCAACCACCATCCTTCGTGGATAATGCTATCCCTCTGAAAGAAACACTGATGTATTTTTGAAAGACAACTCAAGTTCATCAGCCACACTAACACCATGATAATCAGAGCTACTAAAAACATCAATACATTGAACACTGCAGGAGGAAGTAGAGCTACTAAATTCTAATCTGCTCCATCCAGTACTATGCTCTACTGATGATCAGTATGAGTGTTAAACATATAGATAAGATTGAAAAAGATACAAAACTGTTGTTTCAGGCTGGCAATGGTAATAACTTCAGTCGCATCCACCAGGTCCCTATTATGTATCCAAGCCTCAGCAGCATCATAGAACACCAACAGCACTTACATGAAAAATTATTCACTAGTGTAAAGAACATGTATTTCACTAGTGCATCACTGACCTTCTGAATGGGAAATTTCAGTTGCACAAGAACCTCACAGACTATAATCAATTAGGGAATTGCTTAAAATATGCTCCAGGAGACAATCTTGGGTAGACAGATGCTATACAGCCATAACTGAAATAATTTATCACCACCAGATCACAGATTTCCCTGTGTGGAATAAACATCTGATGCCAGTGGGATCCATGGAAAAATCAATTGGGCAGAGAGTGATGCAGAAAAAGCTTATCAGCACTTTTTTTAACCCCTTATCATCCATGGAAAGGTTTTTTCCATTACTATAGTAATGTTTTGACCACAATAAACCAGGCACAAGACACTTAAATGGCATGTGAGACTGTCAGGTTTTTGTAAAGGGCTGGATTCTTTACAGTAGGTGCCTTTGACTTGTTCTTGATAAATTTTAACAATAAACAGACAGCACACAATCCACTTGTTTTAAAATAATATATTCAAAGCAAGCAAAAGTATGTACAAAAATCTGTTACACTACTGTTTACTGCAGTTGAATCTAGAGCTTTAAATATTTCATCTTCTCATCAAAAGTCCACACAGGCTGGGTCAGTTTTCTTAGAACCCAAATGACAAGACAAATTATTTTTATCTATCTCTGTTGTTATAATACCAACTGTGAAACTTTCACTTTAGAAATCACCTGTTATGGCTAAACTTCACTTTTTTTTTCACTTTTACTTTCTTTAACTTACTTTAATTTAACTTCTGTATCTGCACATATTTATAACATCAGACAGAAAAATCTAGCCCTCTTATAACAACAATATTTACATAATGAGAAAAACTTAGAAGCTTAGAGTAAGATTATCTCAATAATATTACAAAAGCCTAGTACAACAATTAGAAGGCTATTCAATATAACTCCATTTTACTATATGTTAAAACTCTAAGTAGGAAAACACACAGAATCCCAGCCAATGTATATGCTATATTCATATTTTAGTACTTCAAAGTGCTAATTTTATTTTTCTTGCCTTACACCATTCTTTTACCCTCAAGAACATAGTATGTTTTTGTAAAACCATGCTTCTTGTCATTCTTGGATCTGTTACTTCAGGTATTAGTGTCTGAAAAATTAAACTGATCTAGTTTAGGGTGAATCTTATAACATTGAAAGAATTAGCATTTTTAGACCTAATACACTATAATATTTGACAGTTTTTATTTGGGATGGTAGTTTCGAATAATTAGGATTCAAGTATTCTATTAATTAAAACTGTCCAAATGTTCGACCTCTACTTGCATTCTTTTGATCTTGTATTTTCTATTGTGCCTAACTATCGTTGTAGCAAATATATCATTTGAAAATGAAATTTTTAGCAAGTATGAATATAAAAAATGTTTGTTTTTGTCCAAAATAATATGTGATCCAAAAAAATCCCACAAGTATCTATCTTGACAGTTTGTAT